AAATCATATTTGAGCCATAATCTAGTGAGTGTTTTGCGTGAGTACATACCAAAAGAAAATAAAAGAAAGCTAATAAGCTTTTATCCTTAAATAGATTACACTTCTCGCTGAAAGTTCTTGAAGTAAATCGCTATAAGTGCATGAGCATGTCTTATTTGTTAGAAAATCATTAGACAAAAACAAAAATGTCAATGTCTCTCTCAAATTTAGAATGTTTACTTGAAAGAAATATGGTAAATGATTATAAAATAGAAAGAAGAGTAAATATTAGATATGTGAATAAATACATACGGATAAACAAGAAATGAAGGTTTAGCTTGTTCACCATCAGTTATTTGACCAGGTCCAGTTTTTTCTAATTCAGCTATTGTTTGTCGTATTGCTTTATCTTGCAATTTCTCCAATTGATTTTCAGAAATATGACCTGCTTTATAAGCTTGTTGACCTTCTAATAACGCCGTTGTTCGTGGTAATGAGCCAATAAGTTCAGTTGGTATTGTTATCTATAAATATATTTTAATATATATACATATAAATATATAAAATATTTATCTCTCAAATATGAAGTTTACCCATGATGGTTTCATGACATTAATTATATTGGTATTGGATGGAAATGCCATATGATAAGATCTTTTTTTTTATTAATTAAACTTAAAGGTAACCAAATCGTTCTGTAGAATGAGCTTTTTTTTATTATCTGCAAACCATAGAGTAAAAAAGGAGTATTCATATGTTCATTAGATAATATATTTCTTTCTTCTTTTTTTTTCTTCGTTTTCTTTTATTCACGATGATCTAGATTTTATAGCCTACGCTGAAATATGATGATAAGAGAAAAATCCGTGATGAATATTAACACATCAGTTCTCAGGAACAACGGAAATTAATTCATGTATTCTACATCATATCTGAAGAAATATGAGGATGGATTATCAAATGAATTCTTTGTTTTTTTTTAAACTTCAGGTGTGACAAAAATAGATTTATTACGCATAAATTTATAGTAAAATATTGTTTATTCTTGGTATATTAAATATTGAGTGTGAGAGGAAAATATTTGTTTTTATTTTTCTTGCTTTCTTATATAAACGGGAACAAATATTCGACGACTGATTACAGAAAATAGAGCAAAACTATGAAAGAAATTCTGAATGAATGTAAAAAATGATTATTTATAGACGATTAAGTAGATGAAATCTGACATTAATTCATTTTTCTATTTTATCTCTTATATTTTTCAAATGTGGGTAAATCAAGAAATTCAATTAAAACAACTAACAGAATAGACTAAATTTCAATTAAAATAATTAGTTCAAAGAATTGATATTGACATGTATACAAATCTAATATAAACAATATAGAACTTCCAACTTTTTTTTTGAGTTATTTATTAATACATGATAGATTGATAAAAATATATGTTGATCATAGAAGTTTTATAAAAAGATATTGAACATTGAAAAAAATTTGTACATATGATTCTTTTCAATTGGAATAAAAACTAAAATTACTATTTAAAGAAAAAGAATATCAAAATAATTTTATCAAATATTCTTAATTTGAAAGATTCAAAAGTTTGTGCAGTACTTATGTATGTATAATAAAATTTACAATAAACAAGCATATTTAGATAAAGAATATAAAAAGATAGTGTCGAAACAAAAATTAACCATTATATAGTCAAGTTTTTCAAATGGCATATAATCAATAAATAATCGACGTAATTTTTCAAGTGCATTCGTGCACAGAGCAACTGTCTAATTTTGCCTCACATCTTATTCATCATTATTATAATAATTTACTAATAATTTCTTTTTTCTTGTTCTTGTCAAGTAAGAGAATATATATTAGTACGAGTCTTCAAAATGTTATGTTATTTTCTTTTTCTTTTTACTTTTTCTTTGTCTACTATATAGTGAAACCTTTGTTTTTTGTCTCCTATGATGTCTAAATTTTCTAGAATAACTTAATATAAACTTTTATTTTATTGAATATACACCAAATTCAATATTGATGAATTTTTTTTACGCACATGATACAAACATAGTTCTATTCTACAGTTATCCAATAAAAGAACTTGTACCTGCAAAAAAATTACTATTCGATCTGTCCAAGCCTGATGGAATAACGTTTTTTTTCACTTTATTTCTGGAATATATCAACAAATTGAACTATTATAGGGCTGATTTTTTGAAAACATATATAAGTCGGACTGCCCTACACAGCATAAAATTTTCACTAGTTCTCGTCTTTCTTTTGCATTTTTATGACTGAAATGCATGCCCGTGACGGAAGAACCAAAAATGGACTCTGAATTTCAGTGGTGTGTGAAGAACTAAAAATTTTAGACCATCTACAAGTGTGATTAAAACCTTTTCTATAGAAAAGTTGTAGCTGAGATGATGAGCTATACATAGAAAAAAAAAACAATTCAAAATATATGGTAGCTTCATCTCACATGTAGAAAAAATTGTCGTGACGGAATAGTGCTTTTAAAAATCGGCATACTTTCATCAACGTTTATTTCTATAGAAAGTTAATTGTAGTTTCTCTGAAATGAATAAATTGATAATATTTCTGAAAGAATAATTAAGAAAAAGTCTCACATCATCCTTTTAACAACGTAAAAAATATATAATGAAAGCATGAATTTCGCATTTTTCTGACTTTGCCGAAATAGGTGGACCGGTTACGTGGACAGATCGTATTGTAATTTAAAAATGACAAAAAGCAGATTTATCGGTAAGAAATATCTTGTACGAATTCATTTCATTAAATAACTATTAATAAAAAGAATTATAATCAAACAAAGCATATATAGACAAGCTAGAAGTTTTTATGATTAAAATGATGTCAAATCAAGACAAGTCATTAATCACCAGCAAATTTTTCAAAGCAAGTCATGATCTGCTTCATTTCAAGACAAGTCAAGTTCAACATGACGTGATGCAAATAAAAAATGACTATATATTCTGCATAAATCACATAACTTCATTTACTTTCTTGCTTTGGTTCTACAAGCCAAGTCAAAAATCAAAACAAGAATTCTAAAAACAATGCTCAAGTCAAAAAATGATTTGAATTACCCATCTTTGATGCTAATCAAGAAATCTCTTCCGGTGTTCTCTTTTAATTCCAATGACATTTTTGCCTTTAGATAATATATTGCGTTGTAATAAATACTCTAAAAAAAGACTTGATTTTCTATTCAGATTTGACTAAGCTATCAAAATTTTAATATGTATATTTTCTATGGGCTCCAGATTTTCGGAAAGCTCGTATTTCGATATGAAACATAGCACATATAGAAAACTATACTAGACTAGCTTTCATAGAAAAATTCAGAAGTTTTGAATGAAGTTTCTTCGAAATATAAAGCCTTCAAAAAATGCATGTTATATCCATGAAAAAGGACTTATATCTTGCAAGTCGCATATGTTCAGGAGATCTTGTTCAAAGTTGTTGATTTCTTTTTTTGTGAGAGGTAGCCTAGTTGAATGCTTTGTATGCACAAAGTTTCAGATCAAAATTGACATATACGAGTTTTTCGAAAATATGGGGTCACTAGAAATCAGACGTATTGAAAACTTGATAGCTTAGTCAAATCTGGATAGGCTAGTAAACTTTTTATCAAACTTCGTTATCGAATAGTTTTCTAATTACAATTTATTCTATTCTAAAATAACGTACTTAAACAAATGATTAAAGACACTAAAAGCGCGTGAAAAACTATTTTGATCATTATTTCATGTGGATCTCTTTTAACATTACGATCCAAAAGAAACATATCGATTTCTCACTGCTCGATTATGCATTCATAATGTCTTCTTCTATTGATGTATGCATTCTGACATTCTTCTTAGCCTCTTACTGCGTATGAGCTTCATGTTCTTGCGTACATATGAATTAACCATAAAGATCAATTTTCTCTTTCTGATGATTTCATGACAATATTTATGGCATCCTCAATTAATCAATAATAATAACAAAATATATATAAATATATATATATCTATAAATAGTCTTAAAGTGTTACATAAATCAAAATAAAAGCATTTTCTGTACACTGTATTCTATTTAATATTCTCCATTAATGTGCATAGTGAATTTACAATATATGATTTCCATTTGAAAATCATCAAACAGTAAATATTGAGTATATGATAAAAAGAAGCCAATTGCTTCATAAATCATTTAAAAGAAGTTAAATTTATATACACATACATATATAATTGATTTCTTCAATAACTATCTGTCTGAAAGAGATCAATGCGTTGTTTCTCTGATAGATATTATGTACTTAACATTTACACTCAAAGACATTTCTCATTTTGTTTTTTTGATATATATTTGATATTAGTACTTTTACGAGAAACTACAGTTTTATTTTAATTAATTATTAATGAAATAGCTGTCAAGACAATGTACTTTATCAAAGACAGGGTGACGCAAAACTAACTGTACCGAAAAAGAAATTGAATATCTTCATTATGATTTGAACCAACGAGCTGATTTTTTTATGAATAATAGAGACATGTTCAAGCTTTATATTCACAAAGACATGCCTAGAAAAACCATTTGTTAAGTATACCATTTTTTTCCTATATGTGAAAAAGTAATAATGCTTTGTTGAAGCCAATAGTGACATTTTCCAAGAGATTTCTCTAGGCATATCTTTATGAATATAAAGCTTGAACATGCCTCTATCACTGACAAAAAAAATCAGTTTGTTTGCTCAAGCCATTATGGAGATATTCATTTTTTCAGTAAAATGACTTTTGCACCACCCTGTACTTCATTCGTCACTCGTAGACCTCAGGTAAATAATTGTCAAGTATTTTTTCTCTTTATATGACGCAAAATATTTTATTTAGTAACGAGTGAAAAGAGACAGATTATCGTTACTATTTGGATTAGTCGTTGAAAAATAGAGATAACCATGTCGGATGTGGAAAGTTTAAGCTTAAATGCTAAGAGAATATTTTGAAAAATGGCGTACTAGAATTATTTTATACTATCTGCATTTAAGATAAACACGACATAGTTAGTTATCAATTCGATTGTTAGAAACTTCCAAGAATTTTTTTGTTTAGAAAAATTCTCAATAGAAATTATTCGCACGTACTAAATAGTATAAAGATCTTGCACATATACTAAAGACTTACTTGTGCTACTACTGAATTATTGTGAAATTATTTAATCAAACTACATATTTCTAGAGAGGAACATATTGTGAATAATGAATGAGGGATCATACATAAGAAACATACAGGAAAAGAGTCAGACTAGAGTCTTATCCTCGTATCAAAACGTGCCATATACTTAAAACTTTTTATTTTGAACAAATATTTTAATAGTTAAATAAATAACGGAAAAAAGAATCAGTCTACTACCCGGAGCAAAGTAAATCTTAGATTTCTATAGAGGAAATCATATTGAATTTCAGTCGTGTTGACCAATCTGAGCTTACCTGACAAGTTAAGAGTTAAGGAATCTGAGCCAACTACTGCTAAAATAAATAAACCATTACAAATAGCATCTAAAATATAATTGATAGCTTTCAAATTGAGTTATGCATCACTGTATATTAAAATTCTCAGTTGTTAATTATCGTTTTCCA